ATCAAGCCCAAAGCGGAAAAAAAGCAAGCCTTTAATTTAATGTTGCTGCTTAGATAAAATATGAAAAAGATACTTCTTTCTGATTTTCTTTTCGTAGCGAATAGGAAAATTTTATATATAACTCAGATTCGGGTAACGCTTTCGTTCTGTGTTTAACCATTAAATATAGTATGGCTGAGGTCCGAGACTAGTGTATGGCCTATAGGTATATTTTATCTGCAAAAATAAAAACAAACGTTTTTGCACAACCGTATTTACCATAATATCTCCAAAAATTACAGTATCTCAACATTCGCCTTCAACCAGAGAATGTCGCAACGGTTAATTGTTATGCAACATAGCAAATTAATCGTAGTACATTTTTCCTTCGAACATATGAAATTATCTCGTCTTTCGAATTTTATACAATTCATTTCCTTTGATGACAGGTTTCATCAGATCGGCAATACACAAACGATCCACAGCGCTTTTGGAGGAAGTTTCAGAAAATGTAGGTGTCCTGCCGTTTACCCACAACGTACCTCTCCCCCTGCCCGTAAAGATCGGGCCTCCTCTCCAGCAAAATAATCCGAGGAAACTGTTCCACAAAGTTACTAGCGTCGGACACAAAATTTGAAGATGACTATACATTTTTTGTTGTTGTTGTTGTTATAAGTTTTGCTTGAAAATGTCATAACATGTGGTCGACAAATGTAGCCTATGAACGGACTATTTTATCCACAATTTCGAAGTAAAACGTCTGAGACTCTGGCGAACGTTATCGGTTAGTTTTCGAACTGCAGACAAGCTGATGTTCAGCTTAAGCAACTGATCGCGATCGCGAAAAAGGTCCAAACTTCAAAATTACGCCAATGACATGTTTAGTGAAGGTTTTATTGTTACCATTAAATTCTGCACACAACAAATGAACACGGCTGAAATAAAGGGAACAGCGAACGACACAATTTTGATCCTCGTTAATGAAAATAATATACTGAATTTTGTCGAAAAAACAATACCTACCCAGTGTATTTTAGCGTTGAATAGTTTGATAACCATTTCTGTACCGTTAAAGGAGCTCGGAACACGTACCTCTAATCAGCTTTAATCAGAAGCTTGGCGATTATCGAGCTACCCCTTCGACGTTCAGCTTTACCCGTCTCGACTATGACATTATATCATTTCACTAGAATCACCAGAAGTAAACAATTAGGGAACAATTGCAAAATTATCCGAAATCAATGCTACAGACCGGTACTATTCACATCTGTATTCCTATCAAGAGATTCAACGATAATGCCAAATAAGTACTGGCTTAGTGAAGGTCGTCTGTGGAGCTTTCAGGGTAACGAAGAAGCCGACAATATATGCATAGTTCAATAGAATATTAACCAACGTTCGTATTATATCATGTCTTACATTAGACATAAACAACAGTCTAGAACTTTTACCAACACGAACAAAGACCCTCGTGTTTGTCAATCGGAATTCATTTTTTTGAAAGAAATTAAAAAACGAAACAAAAAGTATTTTGGGAGTGACAGGTCTAGCTTTGCCTCGCACCAATTCCGCAGGGGGCCAGCCGTACCAAAATAATTTCTTATGTATGTTCGAAAAGCATGTTACATACTTTAGATGCATTCCAGTACAATGCGTACGGGCAAAATGTTTGTTTTCTAGCACACAGAGAGGACATCCATAGGAAATAGCGAATACGTGTACGTAGTACGTTGGAACGGCATCTAACATGATAGCGGAACAGCGAAATAGGGGGGCGCAAGTGATGGACGAGCACAAGGCTGTGTGGTGTTTCAAATACCTTGTAGAGGTATTATAAACATGGAGAAGTTTACTTCAAATGGCAGTTGATATCGTTGCCATGTATTATAAAAAGTGATCTAATGCTTAACGGGACGACGGATCTGGACGAGCTGCTAAATAGCAAATCAAATACGATGGGCAAGCACATGTCAACAAACGACAAGAGGACATGTTGTTTCTACTAACGTATAGGGTTCGAGATGTACCTGTGCACAAGCATTGTCCGCTGATCCGTCCACAGCAGAAACTTTACGCCAAATTCGTCAGTAAATTATCACGTTACAATATATAATGGGGGCCTTCTATGCAGATTATGAATAGTTGCCGGAGTAATTATCGACGTCAGGTGAATGGCGGTATTTTCGGAACCTCATTCTCTTGAACCAAGAAAAACACATATAGCGACGACTCGGAATTCGACACTGTTACACACGATTCAATGATCCCTTTTATACATATGGTCACGAGTTAGACGTCCCCGACATACAGCTAGGATTCATTCAGTAGTCCTTCGAAAAATCATACTTCAGCGCCCTAATTGAAAGCAACGTGGACAATGAAAATTCCAGTTTATATTCTGGACGTGTGAAAGTGGGTGAGTGTTGGGCACGCTTTTTTAAGGAGGCGGGATTTAGCCTAAAGCTATCGCCCCCTAAACAGACTTATCATATCGTCAAGGCAGAACAATATATCGTAATGCCTATTGCCTTTAATGAATAAAGAAAGCCTACCATTTTATAGCTATTTTTATCTACATCCAACCATTTACCGCGTTTCGATTAGGGCTACAATATTCTATAACCATTGTTAAGTTAACATCTCATACAGCGAAACGACAATTTTCCGATGGGTCAATCGACGGTGTGTCGTTCTAAAGAATAAATCTTTATGCTACCCAATAATTACAAAGCTGTGACTCATCGTTGTTGCCTAGTCGGTAGCTTTACCAACGAGAAGAGATGCTGACCTTTACACATTGCATATAGAAGCGATTTGGCTCTATTACGCTGGACCTACTTGAAGGGATAAAGCCATAAAAACAGATTTTTATTCAGTAATAACATTCATGCTTATTGTCATGATTACGGACAACAGCAGCATTTAGGGGGTTAGTCATAGCAATATATACTCTGCTGGTAAGTACGCCGTATAACTTTTTTGTAATCCGCGTCCTCTCTATTCGACACGAGTGTTTCTCATAGCGGTTTCGTCGGAACGTCATTTTGCGCAAATGAAACAGTCGCTCGAAGGAGATGCCTGACTGTTACAGTCAGCAGCCTAAAGAGCTTCATATTTCGATGTACATATATTTGCTTGTCCGAGTGATCAGATCACGCGTGAAGTTTAATCTACAAATACGGGTGTTTCAATGTTTTTTAAACTGCTTTTAAATGTTTTTTTTTTTTTCTATAAAAATCGAAGTGCAGGTAAATTAATCTCGTTTATCGGTTACGTTTTGATAAAATATGGGCATCCCTGACCTTCTTATTAAACGCGGTATCTGATCAATAAAACGTTAACCTCGCAATGATATGAATCACTGGGGAAGATCAGTATCGGCAATAAAGGTTTTAGCAAAGTGAAAACTTGCCTTAGGCAGCGCAGTGGCTGTTCCTCGCGGCTGTTCCAAAACGTGCTTTCTGCTAGGACACTACCTAGGTCTGAAATGATGAAAAGACAAGCTTATTCGGGTGTCTGCCTTCCCGTAGTTAAGGAGAAACCTGATGTGCTTACACTGGTTCAGCGTTGCGCAATTGTCGGTTAGGTCAGCGATCCGCCAAACCAACGCGGCTCTTAACTGGAATAATAATAGATAACAATCTGTTTCTAACTCCATCCCCAACTGTCGCACCGACCCATTATCCGACGGGATACCAGCCCTAGAAGCGAATGACACTGGGCCCGAATTGAGTATCTATATAGGTGGGCACATAGGTTAATGCACGGTGATCCGATCATCATCGGTAAACAATGGGCGGACTGGATGAATGTCGTCGCTGGCAGCTCCGACAGCCCAAATAGAGCCAACTAACGAGGTGTAGATAAGACCGGTCGGCGAAAGGCCGCTTTGGTGCCACCTTTATGACCCTTTATCACTTCAGTAACTTTATAGACCACTATGGACGCTTCAAATGTATTTTCGACTTTAAGCCTGTGCAACCCATTAACAGCAAACGCAAACTGTGCCAGTTCTATGGCAGGGCAGAAATGCCAGTGCAGATCCCGATTAGGGGGTGTGCTGTTGATAGTAAGCATCGACGACCTTCACGTAATACAAGTGTTTACTTGTCTGACTAAAAGCTATGTACACAGCCCCGTGTCGTCGTTTCCTTCCCTAAGATTTTTGCCTACAGTTGGCACCAAAGTTTTACTTAGAACAGACCGCTAAGCTACAAGACAGCGCACTTCCCTTTGACTTTCCAGTGATGCCGCTTTGTCAGGCAAACGTCTTCACATAACAATGCGCGATTTGCGGGGCCACCGAATTGACTGACGCTTTATGACGAAATTGGCAACGGCGCAATATTTACGTCGTGATTAACGTCGGTAACATCTGGCAGCACCGAGAACGTAAGGGCAGAACGCTCCACGTAGTCTATGCCGTTCTGTTCTCCACTTGTGTATATTGTCGTTCAATATGAGAGAAGAAACGATTCTAGTTAATCACTCTAGAATTCTTCGTAATTTACAGTCGTTAGCGTATTTTTGCCGATGTAAAGATTACAAAGACGGATGAAATGGTAGTTTCTGAAAGTTCGCGTGTATTTATTTAAGTACGGTGCGCGGAATATGCATCTTAGAGCTGGTCTTCTACAGCTTAGCATATTCTTTTTTTTTCTGTCCTGAACTATTTTTCCTACGTATAAGGGACTGACGCACACACAAAGCGAAACCGCTGCTTACTATTGTAACAGTGCAAACGCTGGAATGGTAGCGCGCGTTCGAAATACAGATATGTTAACAAAGGAAAGTTTTCAAGGATATACAGCATGTCCCTGCTCAATGTTTTCGTGCATTGTCAAAATGAAGTATTTGCGTTTTTCAAAGCAATATGTGCCGTGAACGTTTTTCTCTCGTTTTTATTATTCTGAGAAAACACTTTCGCATCTATTGTCTATCACAAATATTCTATACTATGTTCTGGTAAGACAGGTTCTATCTCAATCGTATGCACACACACGTGGATATGGTCCGGCAGTCATTTTTGCCGTCATTATGAATGCTCACGGCCTCGTTCGCCCTGATAGTCCCCTCGTTTTCTATTGCCACTAGAAACAAGTTTTCGGTGATGAAAGCGGGGACGACGTCAACGTCAAAGGAACACGTCCTACTCCATTCTGCCAATGACCTCGTTTTCGAGTCGATATTGCGGCTGTTTGTAACAAACCACATTTGCCAGCTATATCGCCAAAACACGAATGTACGTTAGCGTAAAGGAGTGATAACTCTGAGTCCGAGGGAGCTTCCAATCAGATATAGACGACACCAGCTAACTGCCCCAACGAAGTGCGTTCTAGAAGATGAAACTGGACTGAAATTACGGACAGAAGTTCGCCCCTGCGGTGCGCACAGCGTGCAGGAATTGAAGTAAGGCTGCGCTCGAATCATAAATCCCTATGATCCCGACCAAGATACCAAATAAGCCTGCCCGTCAACGTATTGAACACCAACAGCGGTAAATAACGATTGTAAGCTGTCGCTTCCAAACGGTTCATGCAAATGATTCAAGAGTAACGTGACAGGTGGTTCAAGAAACCAGTGTCAAGGCATGTGCTGGCCGTAATATTGTTTGAAGACGTGAATTAGAAAACATTGACAGCCAGAGGACTGTGTTTATATCAGGAAGATGTTGTGGCCGAAGGGAAATCCAGTCAAATCAAATAGATTCGCAAGTTATTATCAAGTAATCTAGCGGGAGCCCAGCGGACGATATGAATCGTCGCATAATATCGTTAACTGGTAGACACTGTCGAGCGTGTCGATATAACATCCACTTCTAAATAGAAGGGTTTTAGCCTTGCCTTTACCTACGCCGTCCTAAAAGATCACGTGTAAAATGACCGTCTTATTTGCCTTGTAAAGGGGCCTATCATATAAACTGGTCCTGCAGTATCACTGTCTGCGCAGTTTCTGTAAAACAGCACGCTGCAAATCTTAAATGTTGTATTGTAAATATAACAATGCCGTTAATACTGCGTAGAATGGGAGCTTTGAAGTTATTTCCATTTCCATCTAGACGCCTGTACTCCAAGTCATTGCTGTGAAAATTACGAGTAATCATCACAACGGGACAAAAGTCGAAAACTCTGCCGCAAAGCATTTTCAATTGTAAAACATATTTGCTATACTTTTGTTCATTTCTATTACAGCTATAATAAAATAGTGTTTGAGGACTAGCCGTTCTTGCAATGAACACAGTTTATTGTTTGAGCGGTTGTGTTATTGGGTTGGCTTAAAATCAACTATCATTAGATTCTGCTTTCAGTTTAGAAGAGACGAATTTCATCAACGCTTAATACATTGTGTCTAATCTTTATGCTATACGCACATTTTACAGCAACCGATCCCTCTGGCGTTGTTCAGGAACCAGCCAAACGTAATTCTCAAGGTCAATACGGACGACGGAGAAAATATGCAACTTTACGGTATTCTTCTTTGTTGGATCTATTCAGATAGTGTATACACGTCGCACGGCGCAGATAGTGCATTACTAAGTCAGAGCAGGCCAAGCGGCGGCAATAAACAGAAAATTGACTCTTCTATGAAGGTACCCTTTTTGGCACGCCACTTATTTGAAAGGAGCGTACAACTGATTGTCTTTTTAGCTAGAGTTATCCGGAGTGTTGGCAGAAGGTGCCGATACAAAGTATACTGCTTTTTTTTTACCGGTAAAATCCCCATGTGGGCGGTTTTTAAAGTTGTATTTCATGATATTTGGATCTATATGTGGCTTGAAAAACAGGGATTACAGCGCCATTGACGCTGTGTCCATTCTCTGTGACGAAAGACACAGCTCTAAGTGAGATTATTTCAGACTCTAATGTTTGCCTAGGTAAGCGGCTCGTTGGCCTTTATTAACGAAGACAGCATAACATTAACATAGGCGTGTTAGCTAAATATAAACACAACAATATCGTTACAAGTTCCACACAATCATATTGTTTAACACGAGGAATTAAATAGGTGAGGTATCTGTAAATATTGCACTTCGGAGCCTTCAGAATGCCGTGGCCATCGAGATTATCAACCTGTACGAAATGCTACTCACTCTATTAATTATATATATATATATATAATTAATTAATAATAATAAATTAAGACTATTAGTTGAACCCAACACGTGAGCCATAGTGCGCCAGAATTTTCCACTTTGGCTCAAATGGTGAAGATATCACCATCGAAGCTCGACGTTTTCCCCGCTCCTATTTCTCAAATCATACTTTAATAATATAAAGCCATAATGTATAATGACTTGTTTCATAATTATAGTTTCAAAATGTGCTATTGTTACCAAATAGCCGCCAAATGAGTAATAGATTACATTTAGAATTAAATAGTATTTAAGAACTTGAACCAAAAAGAGTCTCAAAAAACCTAAACGACGTAATTTAATTCAGTTATTATTTTTCGACAGTATAACGGCCGATAGCAGTTACTTAAGTTCACCACAAAAATCTGTTTTACCGTACAGGTGGATTTGGATGAAGAGGTTATCAACTAGACGGAGCATTTATGCACAACCGTTTAAGAACATAGCGTCCCAGTAGATGGCTAGCACGGGGAGGTCCTCTAAAACACCCTGCCCGTTCCTCAGACTTGAGGCCTATGGACTTCCTTGTGGGGACACCTTAAAAACAAGCTCTACCCTGAAAAGTCACCAACACTAGAAAACTTGGACCTTTTGTTTTAATTTCTAAATAAATAGCCCACCGTTATCAGCGGCGTATTGACCAAAACGGTAATCATTTGGGACATCCGCGATAAGACGAAAGCTTACACACTTTGCGTGGATCCTTCTATGATCTAAATATTTACTATATACAGACAAAAACTGAACTTAAAATAATTTCATCTGAATATGTATTTTTTGTACACCCAATAGACACAAACAGTCCTAGGCACATTTCATCACTGCAACCGTAGTCAGCCCGTATCTATTGGTATACTCAAACGATTGACTCAGCGCTCCTTTTGATGACTCAAGTTCGTGAACAGGAACAAACTACCAGCCCACCTACTAAAACGTTAACCATATCTTACTATTTGCGTTTTTATAGAGCACTCCCGCCCGCGCATCGCACTTGATTAAGCGCAGTTCCATTTCTTAAAGCTACTAGCTTCACAGATGCCTTACGTGTTGACGACTATTCGTTAAGACGTAGCGACGCCATTCTAACAATTAGAGAACATTGGCTTTGCGTTTCGGTCAGCCATGTCCACGGACCGAAACTCATTAGCGGTATTAATCATCTCCCTTAGCGACACTTACCCTACAAACTATTACCGCACAGATGAAGAAAATACAAGTATAAATCAACATTAATCGTCGAAGATCTTTATATATACATATATGCATCATATATATATATATATATATACATTCTCACGCCCACTTTGGTTGTGGTTTGTCGTCTGTTTGTATACATCGTTTTGCAGACTATTGTTGTAGCTTAATAACAAATAGCGGTTCCGTTCTTCAACGCTATTTGCTCGTGTCTGCCACCGTCAGTGCCCAGTCATATTCTAGCTAAACTGGACACGATAATAAGCGGTATTTGGTAAAGGACAGGTCGTTGAAAACAAGTGCTCAGTAATGTTGTAAGAACCAAACCTGCTTGCATTACTATGGTACAAGCAGAAGCTGGTCTCTGTCGATCAAAAACGCAGAGGAAGAAATTGAATAGAGCCGTAAGCCGAAAGCCGGTAGAAGCCGAGAGGCAAAACGGATGATTCTTAGCGAATTCTAAAATAAATCACGATAACAAGTAGCTGCACAGTTGGTAGCCCACGATTGGAGCGGCTGTAGGTAAAAATAGGGTGGAAAGTAAGATATCGTTGACAATGGATATGATTGATTCGATGACTAGCAACGAGAAACGGTCGGCGAACTAATACTTTTACTATACGCTTATTGTTATACACTACTTGTGAATACGTTTGAGATAATACGTTGCCCTTACAAAGTTCAAGGAGGTATTTTATGTTTTCCCGCGACGCGTAGCATTATTCTGAACACTTCATTACTTCAAGGACTGCAATTGTGTTGTGAGAGTCCTCCAAAAATCCTTCTCCTCGTAGTTAGCGTGCCCCCGCAATCTTCCACGGTGGGATTCCCTTTCCGGGCTAGAATGTGTTCATTATTAAGGCCGCGTTTAGCCTTTGTACATCTAACGGCAGGCGGATGTTGTGTTGGTAGCTTCCTGCTCTACGGACATGATTTGTTCCTTGTAATTCTTTACAAATACCACCACAAAGACTGTGTATTCTAGATTCCGGCGGTCCTTCTCTTTTAAATGCAATTCACAATATACACTACTGTGTGTCTCCAAATATACCTATTTCTCATATAAAATGTCTCCGTTTTGAGAGTCCTTTCAGTACTTTGGTGAGCGTTGACGGCATCGAAGTTCGGCAGTGCGAGGATGTCTACTACTGTGACACCCGATAGATTGGCCGTTTTGCGAGAAACAGGACTTAAGGTCAGGCGTCAGGCCACCTGATCTTCGGTCATCAACTTACCTCAGGCCTCATTGTACTCGAGTGTTGAAAATTGCCCTACTTTAGCGGTCAAGCAACACTCTTGTTGACCTGTGAATGTCGGGGCCAATGACCAGTGTGCTGTGGATAAGACAGGCCCCGCCGTCCCATGGCTACTTACTGTTAACAATGGTGTGTCTATGGTATAATTCATAATGGTTTTGTCGAGCTTCGAAAGACTCACTTCGTTTGCAGTTTTTAACACTTACACAAAATCGGGACTTACTTAATTTTAGATCTTCTTTATTTATTCACACATGTTGCATAGTATATGCCGAATGCTAAGTCCCCGGATAGACCCCCCTTCCCTCCACCGGCTATGTAAATGCAGTCTTCGCTGGTGTCGATACATGATATGATTCATGAAAGACCATTCGAAACAATGCCCGAAAGGTTATCTCGCTGGAAACATTTTCCTTGTTTCGTCTCTATCCCTTTAGCTTCATCCCCGTGATGCATGACGTCGTTCCGGTAAATAAAGTGTAGCAGAAACTTATTGAAACTTATGCTCACGTCATCCAACCCATCTGCGCAATATTCCACTACGAAATTGCTGGACATTATCACCTGTCGGGTCGTTTGTATCCGCATCATGGAGGCTCTGTTCGGTGTCAACGGCGGCTAAGAAAGAAGCACTCTTGCAGCCTTTGTGCGCTAAATGCTTATCAAGTATATATAAAGAATAAATAAAGTAAAGCGCTACACCAATGCTAAAAGGAGCGCAGGGTAAACGTCCAAAGCAGAGAAGCAACAGATAAAAATTTATGGAAGATCGAAAACGGGGCATGGAAACAACACAATGGGGTATGCTGACAGTAGAATTTCTGATTAGACCCCGTTTGCTTCTCGGCTTAATGCACTTTCAGACTTATGGCGATTCTGCCCGTTATGGTCTATTGAGAGTATGCCATGTGAGAATTGCTTGTACATATATGATAGTTGTGCATAGTATAACGGCTCTGAAAAGTCAGAAGCAGGTAAAAGACACACTGTAAGCAAAGGGAAGGTCTGTCGAATCATCAAATGTCTGATAGTAATATATCACAAAAAATAAAGTAAGCATTTATTTGTTTGTGTACCCTCACATAGACACGTCAGATAGGATGTGAGCTAATTGACTTTGTCTGTTTTTGAATATAATATTAGAGTTTACGGCAATAATGAATATCATTCAAATGAACCTATATGATATACTTTAACAAGGTACGTTAGTTTTATCGTAGACCAACTTACCACGCCAGTATCGACTTGTTTATATGTCATAGCAACCCGAATGACACGGGGCAAATTTAGGCCGTTGCTGATTTTTAAAGGCGGTGCAAAAGGTCATTATTAAAACAGGTCCCGAGTGTTCATTGCTTAGCCGACTCTCTGCACTGTTTAACCAAAAATTTAACGTTCTTCCACTGCATTTCCCCAAGAGACCTGGAAAGATCTATCGACCTTCCAAAGATCACTTGCGCTTTGTTGTCATAGATTTCCTATATCTTATTTCATGGCTCCTGTGTATCGTCATATATATTAATTGACTTTAATAAAACTTCTAAATTTATATGAAGTATGTTTGAATGGTCATATTTCCAACAATCGGAGCGATCCAATTTGCCGACGTATAAATAATGCTACTGTTTAGGCACTTTTCTAATCACAGCCAAATCAGCTGAAATTAGCGCGCCTTAAGCCTTTGTAGATGTATCGAAAAATTAATCGTATGTTTAACATTCTGATTAGGCCTTTTTTGTTTGCTGTAGATCAGTCGTTCAACGGATAATCGAACTCCCTCCTTTTATCGCAGATCAATCTCACATTGACAAGCATGGATTGATTAATTGAATCAGTTGACAATTAGAATATGATTTAGATGTACTGCTGTACAGGTTGTGAGGTCATTTGAAAAATTATCTTAGTACTATTTCATTGCAACGACCGAACCACTTAACTATTTGGTATACCTCTTCTAAGAGCGTTCTGGTCAATGTTTACGGTTCATTTGCATCTTAAACCATACCATGAAGAAAACCTGCTCGTTAGTACAGTTAGCACATATACTCATAGACGAAAAACTAAACCAGATTTGTATAAGCGTTATAAGTTCTGCTAACAAATTGTGGGGACGAACGGACATATGCCCACAAACTATACTAAGCATAATTTCATGTATACCCGTTCGCCATTTTATTTTAGCAGCGTGTCAAAACACTTAAAATATGATACTTCCTATACCTTATAGCTGAGATTGATCTGCCAGTTGCCCAATTGAGCCGCCAATGATTGCGCGCATTTGGTTATAGACTCGCAAGTGCTTCAATCATGGCATGAGGTGTCGGAGTTATTATTAATACAAGTAGCATCCATACATGATACTTTCTTATATATGCCACATCCTCGTCTGAAATGACCCACCTCTGATATCTTTCGTCTTAGCTAACAAGCTCATACTCAGTTAGCAGGAACTTAGACAGCTCTGCCCTTACCTTTTCGGGTTTTCCGCCTAAGGACTCGATCTTGCGGCAAGACATAGCAGCAACAATCTATTAAGCAAGAACTACACATAGTCCTTTGCTTGACTCGTTCAAACACAACCCAATACCAATAATATACATTTAGCACAATTGAAATTAGTAGCGGGTCCGCTGAGAGAAATAAACAGTCACTGTATTCCGTTGTAATTCCTGCTCTAAACTTTACTCCAATTTCGAAATTACACCTTGGCACTTCATCACACCGACGAATTTTTCTCTTGTTTCAAAAGCCCCTTAAGCCGAATTCCGAGCCAAATATATCACGACAGGAGTCCAATCCAACACCCCTGAACCGCACCTCCAAATTCCTGCTGCAGCCGTTACAGAATCTGCTACAGAATTTTCATCCCTCCTCCGTGCAAAAACTGCTGCACGTCCCCTGAGTTCTACACTCTAACCCATTGGTGACTTCCTTGGCTCTCGTTTACCCCCGTATAAGCTCTTCACTCTTTCGCAATTGTTTCGATCCGTCACAGACCAGAGATGGCCGCCTCGATTCGTCGTCAGCTGTAGGTCGCATAAGTCACCTGTAGGCTGTGTCAGCACCAACTTGTTGCTTGTGCACTGGTCGTGTGATGCGTGCAATTTGTGGTATGGATGTTTCCCCTCTCTTAGAGCAATAACGGTACTGACAATGCACCAAGAATGCGCCAACGTTCTCCAGAAGTCGAGCGTCGCTGAAGAAAGACCTGGTAAAGGTGTGAGGCTAGAGCGAATCCCAACGCTGAGGTGATAAGCGAAATCACAATGACCTAATGTTGTCAACGACGTCTTCAGTTGGCCAGTCATTCATCTTCACTCGTTGAAGGGACGAGCTTGCCTTGTGTTCCTCGCTCACTGTCTGTGCTTCGTATAAGAGCAGCATGGCTCCATAATCATAACAGTGTTTAACTGTGACTAACGAAGTTTTGTCATCATAGCACGTAATGTTATGTGTGGTGCTTGTTGTAGCTGAACCTTTTGTGGTCGCTCAAAAGAATAGTTAATGACATAACAACGTTCTATAATTACCGGAGGTATGAGAGTAAACACAGATCCATACAAGGACTACGTATACGTAAGATACCTTAATTCTGCTTAGCATTTTCAGAAAAGTCAGGGTTTGCTGAGATACCTTAGTACAGCGAATCGAACCAAAAGAGCGTGGGTGGCTATTTCGGCGTTGGCGCTCCAACGCGTCATCGCCTGGCGCTCAACGATGCTTTGTTAGTCGGTGTCGCTTCGCGCAAAACACCACAGCCAAGCAACGCTCTGACTCTAGCAACAGTTCGGTGTTGCGGCTACCCAGCGTTATCGTTTCATCCCCTCCCTGGCAAGCGGTTGAATCGCAAGCAATCTAACTCTCTAGTACGGCGACAGCGTCTATAGTGCCAGCAACCAGGAAAGCCATTGCGTCGACGTAAACATCAAAGGCATGACACACAACGGGCGCTCACTATTAATGATGCTTTTACTGCAGCTGTGCTCGCCACTTCAACACTATGCATTGATCGTTTCTTCCACTGATTCTTTTCGCACCAGCGCTGTCGTTGTTATTATTGTGGTTGTTACTGTTGTAGTTACTGTTGTTGTTATCGTTCCTGTTATTATTATTACTTAGTGTCATGCGTTTCGTTGAAATTGACTGTATGGCATTGTGAAATTTGCGCGTTTCACGCAAGTCGCGGCACGGTTTCGCAGCTAAACAGCGGGTCTTCCCTCCGAAACGAAGATGCGCCAATGACGTTTAGAAGTTGTGGCATAATTCTATTCGTCACTAACGGCCTTTACAGTTTCAGCTCCGGTTGCTGCTGCTACTACTGCAGCCGTGGTGAGATGACGCATACTACCATGATCTGTCGATGAATCGGTTGCTGGGGTCACTAGATAGCGACATGGGAGGAATTACCCGGGTCGAACTGAGCCTTGGGGTAGCGCATAGTTCCGCCAAAATCCTATGGGTAGGATTGCGTAATGTTTTTTCTGCTATGCACATGTGGATGGTCGAACAGCTGATAAACATTGGAAGCGCAGCCACAATACTGGCATAGCAGAGATGGCTGGTTATTTATGGACGCCATGACCGCAGCGTACTATCTAGAATAGTGACCTATTCCAGAATGGTCTGCGAGAGATGTCTGCGACCTACTGGTCTGACACCGCCATATCCAGAAGTCGACATACAGATGTACGCAGACGAATCGGAAGGATCAGAAAGTACGAGAGAGACGTAAGGCAAACAAGGATGCCGCGAAACTGAACGTTAGCGTCCATTGGCCTCGATGAAAGCGAGTATGAGTGACTCTGAGTTGACAAACTGTGCCTACACCGTATCCGGCTATTACGTCGCTTGTGAAGTATTGACTGGCGATGCCACGCCGTAATGCGAACAAATTAATGGAACTGATTTAGATATTAGCACGCAGATTTTGCAGAAGCATGTTACGAATGCGCAGTCTGCTTCTCAGACGGCAGTGTTTTGCTTAGGAGTTTCATTAGGGTAACGGTGAGTCGGTTCAAGTGCATCATTGAAGTACAGACTTTTCAAATACTATATCGTCACGCCACCACTGCTCCTGATCAACTGATAGAATATTCAGAGGATTTTTCACTTATAGTACAGCTTATCCATATTCGTTTCAAGTACCACTCATCATAGTTGCTATTCAATTTGTTAGTCATTGTTTCAGTCAATGCACGCAGGCAGACAGATAGCACGTAGTATTTTCATTGCATTGCAAGCATTCAGAAATCATCACATGGCTGACTAGACCAACCCGACAATCGTATCAAAAACCGTCACATCCCAACGATTGGATACCCTTAACCATATTAATAATTGTGTTACTAACCAACGTTTCCTTTGCTGTATGGTATAGACGGACATTATTTTTCAGTAGCACCACTGCAGGCAATAGACGTAGAGTTTCTTGCATAGCTGCCGGTTCCTGTGGGCGAACAGCATTGTCGGACAGAACTGGGTTTTGTACGCCAACCCCGCCACTCCAATTGCTACCGCCATCCGGAGAATTCTTCCGGTGATGTTGCCGCTATCAGCTGACGCCGTTTCGTTAGTTCGATCGATTGACAGGTTCACGTGGCAGCGTCAGGCGCCTAAGATAACGTAAACGCCGTGCGAGAAGCAGAAAAGCACGCGGAAAGCAAGGGTAAAGAAGTACGGGATGAGACCAAATGAGCATCCTGTTTTGAGCGAAAAAGATAAGAAAGGAGAAATCAGATGACGATACTGATGATTGTCATTAATGCTGATGACAGACGCGCTGGTAGTAAAAAACAGAATAAGAATGAAGTGAAGCTCAACAGTCCACCGTTTCAGAGCGACGGGCATCAGCTATAGCTGCGCTGACATCAGACGTCGTGCGAGGAGGCAAAAAGAAGTAGCCGGCGCTAACGGTAACCGACCAGAAAAGAACACAGGGATGACATCACTTATTTAAGAGTTGAGCGGCAGTAACGAAGGAACGAAATGGCGATTGGCTGTTACCCTCTATTTCCGGCGTTCATTGCCTCGGCAGGAGCAGATCTCCTTACAAAACAAATAGGAGCCTTTCAGGTTGTAAGACAAGGCAGTACTCAAGGGAGCAAGTAATAAGACAGCTAGTTAATCGTGATGGCATAGATCAAAGCGGACGCTCTTTTGATTTGCCATGCCTCAGAATAGGCGGCTAAAAGACACCAGTGATATCATGAGGATCTGCGAATGTAAATACGCATACGGAAGGGCCATATAACGCCATGAAGTAGTGCAACGATATGGTTGTGTTTTCGAAGGCTTCCAGTGATTTGATAGCGTTTATAAGTTGAAAAGAGTGGTATATTCGGACTAACAACTCGTATGATTAATAATTCGTGAATACTTTGATTACGTAATCTAGTGACAATATATGTAAAACAAGTACCTTTTATGCGGAAAAGTATGCTTCGTTACCAGTTGAGTGAAACATCATCGATGCAGAGCCGGGCGAAATGGGAATCACCTTGGTATTGCAACGGTACTAACTCCACGAAATACCTTATGTCTCCAATTAACTTTCTATAGGGTAACTTGTTTTTCTAGACTTTCTACATTGGGACCTACCTTTTTCGCTCTTACGGTCCTGCGGCCTTTCTTTCAGACAACAACAGCGCAATATACGACCTTAAATTTCTACCGAGACAAAGTAACCCGCACTATCCATGAACCGGCGTTAGTCAATCACAGTTGTACGCATGATACAGTCCAACTACATAATTTAAATCCACAAAATAACATTGCTCTATAAAGACTCATTAAGGCATGGGCATGTGTTGCAAGGTTTCATTATCAAAATCGACCTAACTGAATGAATGCGGACGGAGTTCATTGCTTTCTCACGAAACCGTGCAGCGACAGCGGAAGCTGGCGATAATCGTAGTATGGACGGACTGGCGGTGACAACTCATCATTCTAGGATCTTAATATCACCGGGGCTAACCGATGAGGAAGAAGGTCAATCCAGTAAGAGTCGTGCTGGATCGGAAAACCTCAGTCGTCGCGAGAAGGGTTTTATCTCAAAGTGCGATCCGAGTGGTTGGACTTACCAAAAAAACTTTAAACCCAGTAGCAATAGCTGGACTTGAGAAAGTATATGGTTAAATCCGATCGCAAGTCGAAGAAAAACTTCCCTTAAGTTGGTGTGTGGAAGTCGATGAAGTACTGCACTGAGAGTAAACCAATATTAAAGTCCTTACGAAGTCAGTGATATTTCTCTTTTCTCAGCGTGTTAAACAACTATGACTTATCGTAGAAGCCCGTGCAAGGGGCCCTCGAACTTTCTGAAGCTTTGAAACGAAAACTCACAAAAATAGCTGGAGAGAACACCTGAACAGCGTTGGAGGTTTCGAGGTCACAGGCATATTGCTTTATTGAAACAGTTCTAAGATAGAAAAAAGGTCTCATTGGCCATTGTAGAAACTATTACCGATGTTACAAGTGGAAGCATATTGTTCACATACTGTTGTGGACTAGAAAATTGTTTTGTAGTACGATTATGGTTAATTTGAAAGACGGAAATCAAACGAATAATTCTATTTCGTGGGCAGCGAGGACAAAACGGCTAAACATGTAAGTTCTGGAAACAATACGTGAAATCGCTGGTCACCACTATCACCAATAGTAGTATATACATTTGTAGATACATACAAACAAAGTAACTGGCCATAAGATAAAGAAATATAATAAGCAAAATCTATGGCTGATTGTTCTGTTCACTTTATTTTTTGTAATTTTTTGCAATCTAACACAATCGTTCATAGGGTGACATTTTTCGGCACGCATGTCACCCCTAACCTTCGAAAGTGATGCAATTTTTTAGTGGCTAAAAATTCGAGAATCTCACAATACCTCTTGCACGGTCTAAAGACCAACCCTGATATTTTGAACGTTTTTTTTTTCTTTTTGATAGGTACAGCTTTAAGTCTCCTCCTATATATAACATATGTTCCTGCAATCTCGCACCGCAGCACTTAGCATTTACCGCATACTTTACTGCTTCTCCCTCATTCACTGAAAGTTAAAATCTAGCAAATAGTGTATATTAACTGCGACAACAAACAGACATGACTTCCGCCGTCGAGTTCCTCGTTGACTGACATCTATTTGATTGCTTTCAGCCTTTGCTAGAACCTATCCAGACCCAGAGCAATTCCTAGAAAGCGATCTTGCCGACTCACTAAACCATACGCTGTCTAACTTTGCTGAGTATTTCAGCTGACAGCAGGTTATTGGCATACGTCTCTTTACTAGCATCGCTTTACATAATATCGACTCTGCTTAGTTCGTACTATGGTGATGGCCATATTCTTCAAAGAGACACCGTACTGAATCAATCCATCTTTCAGTCGTTTGGGACCGCATATGTGTTTCTCCGTTGCTTCCCATAATTACAACAGCACTTGAGTCATCGAAGCGGACAGAAGCATCAACGCGAATCTGTATACCTTTGCGGATAGCTTGGCAGTTCGAGCAGTTAGAAAAGATCCTTACGCTCCACCGATTTGCCATTCAGTATTAGATGGGTAAAACTCGAGGGGACAATCAACGAGGTATGATTTTCTGTTCAACACGACGGTAAGTATCTTTTACAGCACACTTTAGGGTGATGTGCGTGACTTCATCAAAAAAAGTGTAATAACCTTGCCTTGGTGCTCAAAATTACCAATAAATCCAGTGACCTTAGAGCCTTTATTGGGTGATATTATTCCGTAACTCCTAACTGATTCCGAAAACACAAGCTAACATAGTTGTTTGCCCGCTGAAAAGAGTATTGCTTTCAATGAGTCGAAGGCAAGATTTTTTGTTTGCTTTTGTTTTGATTACAACAGAGTATTAATAGATGCTTTTATTTAATTGCTATGTAGATGCAGTCGTCATTGTCATAAAATTTCACTTGTAGACCAGGTGCATTTTGTTGCAAATAATTTATTTCTTTTGCACGGACCGTTCAGCCACTTCCTTATGTCTGGGATAAGGCTTCTGACCAGTGATTCAGGTTCGCCCCTCAGTATAATTCCTTATTGCCGACACCACTCTCTTATAGTGACGACCCTTTTTGATTTTATTTCTGTCAACCTTCCACTTCTATCCCACAGGTGCTTTCCTTTCTTGATTTTCATATCTCTCAGCTAATGCTAGAATTGCTGACCGCACTAGATATTTGTGTAATCTCGAGTACGGGCATTCTCTGGGTCCCGCGAAGTAGATTTCTCTTTTTTCTCATATCAAATGTCTTCTGCATCTACACTGCAACTCCGAGTGGGCCGATTGATTTCGTCATTGGAATCAGCAGTCTACAACGATTTGCGCCTTTTAGCTCATAGATGCTTTCGAAGATTCTCGTTACCAAATGCGCTACTTTTCATACTTAAGCTGTAGCCTTTTTTAGATGAAAATTACCCTGTAATGAATATTATTATAATTGAGATTTTCGTCAAACATTAATGTTAATGAATGTTTATATGTGAACTACGACAAACAACGATCTGCATCTTTTACGCAGCCGTAGCAGTGATGCATCCGTTGAATATATAAAACCGCTAGTTCAGCTAATAATTATCCCTTAATACGATATGAGATACCTTTGATCCGTAACTTGTGGTTACTAACGTAATAGACCCGAGAAAAATTTTACAACCACATGAGGCTACGGCTGAACGCATGTGACACGTTGGAGGAATTCGCGCTCGTCGAATGTGCCAAATGGCAAATGCTATCCGGCATAAGCAGAAAGGAAATTCCTACATAGGACAGAGGATAAAAGACCCCAAAATAATGAGGTTATCTAATGGCCATGGAGTAGCGTCAAGGACGGCCCAACTGTTCACTAAATAGGCCCCGTCATCAAATAATTGCGGAACACATACTTCTGGGCTATTCGGTTCGGTTAGATGCTCTATTAGAATGAGTCTGTCTATTTCTGGGTCTATTTTTACGTTTTGGATGTCTATGTGCAGTCATGCGGGCAGTATACAAAAACTAGGATATTAACATAAAATAGAATTTTGCAAAAGAAAGTGGTAAGTAGATTTTTGTGTATGCACATAATAACAAATACTAAAAATTTATACGCAGCAATTTGTATAATTACTTATTTATGTACAGATATTCATATCTGTACATAAATTTAGTCGCGGCTTATTTTGTGATACTGACTAAGTACGCGTTTCCAAGCAGCTAAATACTGTAGTATTGTCAGATGCAAGCAAAGCGTAACAATAGTGTGAATACCGCAGTAAACGATTTCGTTAGGTCTTTTTATCCAATCCGCTCCAACAAATCGCAGTAATGTTTTTTTCTGCTATTTACACATAAGTCGTCCCACAGAAATAGATTCATTTGGTGTTGATTAGTTTCAGCCATTGCAAAAATCCATGAAAGTGAATGCAAATCTACACCACAAAGACATTTGAGCGTCAAAGCAAGCTTCTACCATTCAGTAAAAAGCATAATGCTATAATAAATCATTTGGCGTGTTACCATAAATAGAGCAAAAAACAGGCCAGCCCTACAACTTACGCTCAGCCCGAATTCGCTAGCGCGAATTGTGCGATGGTGCTCCGTGGGTATAACCGGCGATCGTTCTCAATTCGCACAAGTGAGTGAAACAGGGTCGGCAACTTACTTCGTGTTGAGGGGACCGTGAATTATTTACGCCATCTTGTCTACGACGTTGGCTGAAAGGATGCCCAGGATTAAAGGATCTCTAGAAACTCCACTGGTTTCTTGGAGGATAACGAGGCTCTTGTGATATGCTGGATTAGTAAATCGCGATCAGGGCCCGGTTTGTTACTTACTATCTATGTTGCGTAATCGTAGACACCTATCTCTCTGTATCTAGTGGCTTAACGAGTCGAATAAAAGGTAAATGTTCTTGTTTGTATTTCCTTCTATTATAAATGCTTCCAAGAGTAAATATGACCTACAGGCTTAATATAATGTATATTTTTTTGTTGAAAGATCAACGCAACTAGTTTATTAACGCATCTAATTTACATATTATGCGTTACACCAAACCTCATTGTAATGGACAACAAATAAGCGGTCCTAGGGCAAATTATTTTTACACTTCGATAAAAATTTTCCTTATTTTCTCGTTATCGCATTTTGTTCCGGCGTAAATGTTTCAGTCTAATTATGTACGGTGTTACTTACACGAAATTTCGCACAATTTTACCTTAATTTCAGAGTTATAGCTATTATGGTTTAACTCTTTTGAGAAATATATAATTGTGTACAATACGTTTCGTAGATCTATGTATACAAGCACGCATAAAATACAAAGCAATAAATAAGGTAATATCACTCATAATTCAAATTATCCAGAAATTAAATAGCAAACTAACTTCTTCCGTTATTACGCTTTAACCTCTTTTGAACACACATGTGACCGGTAAGCACAATCACAGACACACGTTTCTTATCGATATAACGTCCTTCTAAAGATGGCCGTCTTTCAAGTTGTTATACGATTCTGGTACGAGAAATTTGATGGCAATTCTCAGGAATCTGTCAACGACTAGTTTATAATGGTCGAGTACAGGCTTCTCAATTTATTCATCTGCTCCGTAAAGTGGTAGCAAATGGATCCGTTTAAAATGAGTAAATCAGCTCAGCAGGAACCTCTTGTAAATGCAAACAGCAAAGTTGGGATTTATTTAAATTGCTTTTGCCGCAAGCAGTCAGGTTCAGAAAGAAATAGGTCTCGCATATACAAAACTTCACAACGGACATGCGTCTACAAATGCGTAACAACAAGACTGGACAGCGCGGCCCTGGGTGATATTGGTATTGGTCAGACCCCGGTCGTTTCACTGGGAATCGATATTCAGTGGGTTATCGGCTTCTTTTGTCTGAATTGACAACACTGGGGTAGGCGTTTCTAGAGTGGCCACATTGTGGATATGCAAGTTTTAAGCCCTAACAAATTTCGTAAGCGGGAATTGCGGAGATGAACTGAAATTAAAAATGGCTGATTATGATTTTCTAAAAGAATATTATGACAATCAATTTACGATAAGCAGTAAAAAACTAAGACAAGACCATTTCTATGGTAACATGGGTTGACATGTCTCATGCCGTGCCTCTTCTCAGCGTCTATTAACATATGCCCTGCCTATCTGCTTTGAAGCTAACAGTATCGACGTAGTTTCCTTAAATTTTCGTGCGAAGAATCTGTACCATCAATACCAAGTTGAAAGATCAGCAAAAAAAAAAAGCAACTCGATATACACTATTGTCGATAACACAGGTTACGCATTAGTCATCACAAAACAGTGAAGCAGCAAGCACACACAGCCTGAATATATGGGCTGGTCGTTTTGTCTAAGACGATTCGTCTCAGTTCCATAGTTGCCACCGTTGCAGTACGGAATGAATGCAAACAGTTAAGCCTGAAGGCACCGTGGCCAGGGCACGGCCTTTGGACTACAATGTGCCTCAACCTTAATTCGATTCTACGGCACAGGTTATCTCTATATAGAAAGGCCTCATCGTAATGTTTCTTTTTTCCTTCCCTCTTTGTTTTCGTTCTCATAGTCGGTTCTTTTACGTCACAAATTATTGGCCTTCATGTGCTTCACGAACTGGAGTTAGCAGCGAAAACTATTTAAAGAAGTACTATTAAGTTTTATTTGAAACCCAGATGTGAAATTTGTATAAGACTACAGGCCTAACATCTGCATCTAATCGAAAAGTAAAATCAATTTATAGAAAAAAAAAAAAAAAAAACAGATAGAATACGTATAAAGTGTAATTATATTTTTATACCGTATTATTAACAATTAAAAACATGCTAGTTAAAAAACCATTGTTGCTAGTGGCAGAATTTATAAGAATTTTGAAATGCCCTGCTTTGACCTGAAGTGCCCAGTTATTTCACAGTAACCCTTGTGGGACTACACTCCTCTTTGAAAGGGGTCCTCAAAGAATATGATTTACAGTTCTTACAGTTTTATCGCAGTTAACCCACCTGAAGTAGAGCTAATTTACGAATATAGTGAGCTAAGCCTCATTGCCCAGCTCACAGTACCCACAGCTTCGATGATCTAAAGGTATTGCGCGTTGCCATACCAACATAACTGATCCGCTTTCGACTTATTACCGACAAAATATTGTTTATAATATCGTTGTTATAGCAGAACAATAGTTGAGGTTAACACGGAAATTCGGCATTAACAAATGCATTCAATGCCACCGATCTTCTCCACTAAACTTGCATGCGAGAAGAATTGCCTAGGTAATCTCGTGCCCCAGATGTTCTTTCAATACTTATCAAAGGACGCAACAGCCGGACCAGGTGATACTTTTTGCCTATTTCTACTATAGTATTAGCTGGTTGCACATTTTTTTTTATTTTAAGGCCAAAGCTCATAATAATTGGCTCCTGTGTTGCGGTGAATTTTCGACACCCAAGGGCGCTCAGGCTCAACGCTTGCACCGATAGCTAAACGGTGTATATAGAAGTGCTATTCCTTATAGATTGTAAACGACGGGACAAATAACCAGGTTTTTGTCATGTTCACCATCATTATTTGTTATGGTCAATAAGCAATATTACTTTGAAGAAAAATAAGAGTTAACGGTCATGCGGATGCTCTCAAGCATACACAGCTCATGCTACACTACGTAACATATATGTCCTTTGACAACAATAGAAAAGTCTCTTTCCGTCTGTGAAGGATATTGAACGCAGACAACAATTACAATGTGCTTGAGTAAGTACCTGCATGTATGTCAATGATGAGTTCTGCAAGAAATTGTTGGCATAGTGATTGCTAGTAAGTGCGTCGCTTGCGGATTTACTAAGACAATAGCACACACACACATACACACATAAACGGAGGACAATATAACCGAAATATTTATTCGAGGTTCGATGTTGGAGTGGCATTTAGTTACATGGATCTCGCATGCTAACATTTTAGGTTTTATAGTAGCCTTGTCTAGTTTATCAGGTGCCGTCTAAGACCTTCCCAACAGTTATTCGTTACCTAAGTTTTGTTTATATATATGACGTCGATGCCACGGCATAGCGCTAACATATTTACTTACTAACTAAAGGGGCAGTATCAAGGCAAACTTCCTGTTGGCAAAGCACGGACAATTATTAGGATCAATGGTGGCCCAAAGATACTGTTGCACCATCATACGGATATATAAATAAGGATATTCTACACTTACCGTACTCGGGTGGGTACTCGTAGGCAGGGTCCATCTTGTACGCGGCGTCCAATTCTTCCCAGGTATCTGCAATGAGGAGCTCTTCCTCGATAGGCTGCGGTTCGTCCTGGGGAGCAGTCACCCTTTCAGGCATCTCGACGGCCGAAAGGCTGCCGTTGCCACTTTCGCCATTGGCTAGAGCTCCCATCTTCCAAATCTACGTCAGACATTACCATCATTAGTCAAACTGTTATAAAAATAATGCTATCAACATTATCAGAAAAGAAATAGCGGCTTTCAACCGAAAGTTTGGTCACCCTTTCCACATCACAAAGACCGGCCAGCAATTTCTCTCCAGTCGTAAATAAAGTCATTAGTAGGGACTAAGAACTCGTCTGAGAAAATGTATAAAGACGCTAACAAGAAGCATTTTTTGAAATGTTGCGTTTTGTATCCTATTATTGTTTCCAGTTGCTCCGGAGTCCGTATGTATCCTTCACCTTTTTAAAACTGAAGGCAGTAGAAGTTTTAGGCATGGTTCTATAGAGACAGACTTAGCTGGCCATTTGTCAGGATCACATTATATAGAACTGGAAAATTAAAAGATATAATTTCAATTACGCCCAATTGACTTTTGTACACTGTGGAACAATTTTACAAATTTGGTTTAAATTTTTGCAAAGGCTATCATAACATATTTATCGTGACTGCTTTATAAGGAGTACAAATGTATGTTCAAAACTGCAATAAATGTTTAATGTAAACTTTATTAAATACTGCCCGCTAATTAAAAATAACAGATTTCCACTGCTAGACACGACTCGCTCCTTTAGCATTTGTTCGTATATTACGAATCGAATGAACTGCCTGTCAAGTAAATTTTTTGCGTGAAAAAGCCCCTGGTACTCAAAGAAAATACTGGTCCATTTTTAATATTGTCTCTGGGAAAATTTGCACTGAATGTGCAACCGGAATTTCTATTTTATGCTCTAGGACAAACTACTGCATCATCATACACTAACTTGAAAACAGGTTGAACCAGGCTCAAAATCTAGCCGAAGTCAAATCCTATCCAGGCTCAGTTATATCGAGCACCTAACGATTTTCCTCATTTAAGTAGTCTTCAGGTGAAGATAACCACTACAAAACTAGCGCCCTCTCCCTTTTCGAAGCACTTCCGTACAGCCCCACGGTGCCCACTATTCGACTAAAATAACACTGCATTATTAGGCACATGAGCATGTTTGAACTTCAAGCGGAAATATATGAAAGGTTGCACACGTGCGTAGTAATTAACATATTTGTTTGCCTCCTAATTCACCCCAGAAATACGGATAAAAGGATTGACAAATGAGCGCATTCGATTAACTACTATGTACTTAATGCATTCTATTGAGTAGTAGCATGGGTTGGTGGCATTCACAAGATGCCCAACCCTCATTAATATTCGAGGGTAATGATCAGCAGACCGAACTATCTGTTTGTATTTTGTGGACTAGTTTTTAGGTGAGCAACTTAGATTGATAATGTAAAATCTTTTTATAACCTAAACAAACGGTAGATCAATCCCTTCTCTGTGTAATACTTCAAGATTAAAAATGGGTCGTAATCGTTCCTACACCCTCTAAAAAAGCTTTCCTTAATTAAAAACAATGAATGCTTGCTCTCCCTTTTGCTGAATATCTGCATGGTAAAAACCATCTCCCAAAAGGCAAATTTAACTGATCTATAGAAAATTTCGCTAGTTAACTCTCATAAAGTAATAATTATAAAAAATATTCAAGGAAGCACAATCAATTCAGAAGTGCCAATACAGTACTTAAGCCCCTCTCAACTGCTCGCGCACTAAGATTATTTTGAAACTTTTGACAAATACGAAGCTAATGATACATGTACGTAGGGCAATTTTAGATTATACTCTACAAGCACAACTGGCACTCAATGCATTCACTATGACGAAAATCATTGCTCAGCTTTACGATATATGTAAATAGAATATTACAAGTACAAAACAACAATGAATATTGAAAATTTTGTTTACTCCAGTATTAGGAGTAATTGCTTGTATGGTTAAGTCTAATGGCATAATATTAATTGCACGTAATGTCTCCACGCGATTTAAAAGCGGGTCAATAACATACGGACTGAGTGTGGGGCATTTTTCTCGTGATTTCCTCCGAAATACTGATTATGAGTGAGGCTGTTGCACGTCGTCGACTCACTTCCAGCCAAATAACTTCATGGATTTGAGTAAGGCCAGGGATTAAAGGAACAGCATATCACGAAACGAGCATTGTCCAAAAGAAGGCTCTACAGTTCGACAGGATGCCCTCACCAAAAGACTTCGCTTCTACGATGTCAAAAGATTGTATCCTAGCGACGAGCACAAATAAATGTACGGCGACACAAAGCATCATCGATCCTGCTTCGTCTGCATGGGAACAATAGACAATTCTATTTATAATAGACTGCATATATTTAGTACCGGCCAGTCCATTGTTTCGACACGATGCCCCACGACTCTTTTGAAAACGAGAATGCTTAACATCTAGTTGATTATACTTTTGTTCCATATATAGAATAAACAGTGTGCAGACTTGCCTATGGAGACGCGTGGGAAATCGGCCATTGCTGGAAGGTCAACTTACGATCTGATGGTATATTTCCGTAAAGCTTGTTTTTACCCATACGAATGTCATTTATCTTTGCTATGAGAGTCAATGCTGTTGGGTTCAATACGATAGCATCAACGCTGTTTTGAATAACTGGTGAAGGGACTGGCAGGATCGTAATATATAGTAAAATACTCGTGTTGGTGTCTGTAGTGAGTAGGAGAATATGTTGTTTATTAACATTGTTAGTAATGTCGTATGTCGAATTGGAAAACAGTGAAGAACTGGTTTAGTGACTCTCATGTGATATTTACGTCTAAATCTATTCCTCATCTGTATTCAATACTTGCAGGGAGCGATTGTACGAACCAACAGCAACTTATAAATGATATCGGTAACTTAAGCATAATACTTTATCAAAGTGGAACATATTTCATGGCACCTAACACTAATTTGAATGGTATCACACATATTACATTCGAATAACTTTAAACCATGTGTATCAATCTCGCTTGCTACTTCTATACAAGAGACTCGTCACTTACTAAAAGCATGTGTTTGAAAACGCGCCGACTAGTCGGGATAATACAAGATGTACAAGAAAGGACCGCGTTGTGGTTCATGGACACACATACTTAACCTTTGTTGAGATTTCCTCGTTTTCTAACTAAACTGATCTTTGATACTAACACCGATCTAAATGATACTAGATCAATAAAAATTAATCTGAACAACTATATTTCAAGGCCTTGCTTATCAAGTTGGGAGAGGATGTCTTAATTCGCCTTAGATTCATTCTTTCGTTCACTTAAAAAAAAAGTAAAGTTCATTCACAGAACGGCCGGACGCTATCTGAAGTTCCATGAAAAAGAAGATCTTCTAGTCAAACAGGTTTTTTACGATGTATTGATGTAACGAAGCTTAAGGCAACGATCGCTCGTGTTTTTTAACTAATGGCTTGGCTGTCTAAACCACAGCCTCGGGTTTAACGAATTTATAATAGCAAAACGTATCTACAAAGTAATGCTGTGTTCCAATTGGGAACAATTTTGCTGGCAAGCTACTATTCATGACAAACATGTGTTCATCTATTACTCCTGCTACCAGACGAAAGGCAGTTATTTCTAGAACAAAACCTATTATGGCCAAAAACAGTGCGTAACTTAAAATTTAAGCGACTATTAACTATTATCCAATTTTCCGCGGTGGGCGTATCCTCAAGAATAAGAATGTTTCTTTTTGTCCGAATTTGACGGCCTGCGTTATTGATAGTTTTCATGCAGCTTTTAAAGCATCTGAGGAAGATCTCTATGAGCAGACAGTGAAATGCTTGGTAGGGACTAGATTAAAAAAGTTCGAAAATAGACAAAAAGGGGTCCAAAAAGCCACTACCAACATGCTTGGATTTTTCATACAGAAGTTAATGTCGATTTTGTCAGTTTTGTATGTGATTTGCAATAAAGTA